TTATCATTCACAACTACTTGGTAATTAAAACAATTTAAGCCATTTTTCAGAATAATACCTTACAAATTTTAAGAATGAATTATAATCTTTTTAAATAAAAATTATATCACATGCACTATTACTTTTTATTAAAGTTGAAGAGCAAGCAACATGTACATGTATATCAATGTGATAAAGTTTGAATTAACTGTTCCTTAAATAATTCTAAGTCTTTTATGCATTATTAAGATAAATTTTTACCATTTCGTATCCCGCATCTTGCGCTCCCTACCCCAGGAGGAACATATTTTGATCAGACTGGAATCTGTACCACTTGAAGAAATCTGCACAAATGTATGGTAGCAATTTCTTTTGGCCGAATGCTAACTCAGGCGCTTTTTAGTACTATAATGGCAAAATGAAACCGGAGACACATTCATTATTTGTAAAGATTATATTATTTTGCCATGTTTCCTACTTATTATTTTACTTAATCTTATTTATTAAACCAGTTTCATATGGTGAGACGTTTCCATACTGACAGGTCCAGTCTTCCCTGGGGGATGGAGTCTCACTAGAATTCGAAGCAAGTCTTCCTGGGGATCTAACTACAGGAAACAGTGCGACATTTAACTCCGGACACGACATAGTCCGGACTTTTTACTACCATTTCTAACTGTAATGTCCAAAAAAATTTTACAGTACCTGGTGGGATTTCTTAGCAGTATCATATATTCTCATGTTGAACTCATAGACATCTCTACTTTAAAAGATATGAAGTCCTAAATATCAGAATCCCATGGGAGAATGGTGGGATTTTCAGTCCCACCAACGATCCCACCATTCTCCCATGAGAGAAAAAATGTCAGATGGGAGAAAAAAATCTCAGATGGGATTTTTTTCTCCCATTAGGATTTTTTCTCCCACAAAATTGTTCAAATGGGATAAATCCCACGGATATTGACAAATGGGATATTTTCTCCCATAAATAGTCAAATATGGGATAAATCCCATAGATCATGATATGTGGGACATTTACTCCCATGGATATTCAAATATGGGATAAATCCTATATGTAACTGATCGATGTTGCTTCCAAATATTTTTAAGTAATCGATATTCATACGCATATTATCTGAAGTAAATACTTTTTTTTGAAATTCATTAAAAATCATGTCATTCAAACATTGCTTATTAGTTTAAAAAAAAATACAAGAGACCCAAGGGCCTTGAATCGCTTCTGATAAATTGTACAATCTATCACTTCTATACTGAAAGGAAAAAGAAACGCACAAGAACATGATATGGGAAAATTTTCTGACTATGTAACCGAAAATTATGAAAATTGGTCAGATGTTTTATTTTGGTTACTTTGCACTAAAATCACTTGTCAAAACTACTCAACCATGAAATGTATGGCATCACGTAGGGGAAATGAAAAAAAGTAAAAAACACGTGCATGTTAATGATGTTAATTTTGTAATAGAATTTTGTAGCACCATACTATGCATTAGAATTATAGACATCGTTTTTGCATATTTGCAGTCAGTATATTCTTGCAATCGTGGTATGGCTGACGGAATCTACTGTTGGTTTAGTATTTGAATTCAATATTGCATAAGTGAATAAAAAGGCAAAAACATGCTGATGTACAGACTGTTTTCAACTTTTCAACCAAATAAAAGTGCTTTTTGGTTGTCAGAGAGTGAACTTAAAATGTTTCCAACCAACCATGACGGTGACGTTGGCGCGTATCAACGTCACAACAAGATAAGGCTTTTCATCACGCCACCTCGGTTATTGTCAAGGCATTATCACCGAAACTGATATTCATACAGGAGACAAACATACTCACTTTTTTCACCCTAAACTGACAGAAACTCTGTGCTCTAATTTGGGCCGCGAGCTTGGCCAGCTTACGTCGATTTTACTCTCAAACGCGCACGTACGCGTCGTTTACGTAATGTTTTTTAGCATGTTTACATTGGAAAAATGTAGCTAATATTTGTCGATACTTTTTTACAAACATTCACAAGTACCAAACCTGCTGGGTTCTGTATATTCTATCCTAAATCGAAAATTCGCGGGATTCGATTGAGCGGGGCGATTTGTTGACTTTGGAATAATACAGCTAATCTCTACCGTCGGAAGGGTTGACTAATAATGCTATGAAAAAATAAATGCTCTGGTGAACTCAATGCACAGGAAAATCAAGTTTGTTACTGATGCGAAAGGGAGATTATAAGAATTTTTAGTTTTATTTCTGGGGGGTGTCACTATATTGATATCAATATCTCAGAAACTATTACTCAAAATCGCACAAAATTTTTGTAACTTGTTGATTAAAGATGAATTAAAATGAACGATAAAAATGCTGAAAAACGTATTTGAAATAATTGTTTTAATTTAACTCAAAAGTTTGATATGCGTTACTTAATCCTTTCAGTATATTTGAAGCCTCTAACGCTAAGTATCCTATGAACCAAGATGCGTGAACAGTCAGAGTTTGAAGATTCTAAGCCAAAAAGTACCCGAGATACTAAAATATAGCCATAAAATGTTAATAGTAGGTCATCATGGCCAAAGTTTGATAATTCTAAGCCAGTAAGTACCTGAGATATTCAAAAGTAGGTCATGATGACTTACATTTTGGTCGACATTATCCGAAAACCCAAGATGCATCAACTGACAGAGTTTGAAGATTCTAAACCAAAGAGTATCCGAGATACTTAAATATAGCCATAAAATGTCACAAGTAGGTCATTATGACCTAGTTTTTAAAAGACATTCTCTGAAAACCCAAGATGCATCAACTGACAATGTTTGGAGATTCTAAGCAAAAAAGTACCTGAGATACTTAAATATAGCCATAAAAAGTCACAAGTAGGTCACTATGACCTAGTTTTTGGCCGACATTCTCTGAAAACCCATGTTGCATCAAGTGACAAAGTTTTGATGATTCTAAGCCAATAAGTATCCGATAGAGTAAACAGTAGGTCAATGTGACCTACTTTTAGGTCAACAGTCTTTGAAAACCCAAAATGCATCAACTGACAAAGTTTAACAATTCCAGACAATTAAGTACCCAAGATACTTAATTATAGCTATAAAATGTCAGAAGTAGGTCACCATGACCTAGTTTTTGAACGACATTCTATAAAAACCCAAGATGCATCAATTGACAACGTTTGATAATTGTAAGCCAATAAGTACGTGAGATATTCAAAAGTAGGTCACTGTGACTTAGTTTTTGGTCGACATTCTCTGAAAACCCAAGATGCATCAACTGACAAAGTTTGAAGATTCTAAGCAAAAAAAGTACCTGAGATACTTAAATATAGCCATTAAATGTCACAAGTAGGTCATTATGACCTAGGTTTTGAACGGTACTCTCTGAAAACCCAAGATGCATCAACTGACAAGGTTTGGAGATTCTAAGCCAAGAAGTACCGGAAATAGTTAAAAATAGGTCACTGTGACCTACTTTTAGGTCAACAGTCTTTGAAAACCCAAAATGCATCAACTGACAAAGTTTAACAATTCCAGACAATTAAGTACCCAAGATACTTAATTATAGCTATAAAATGTCAGAAGTAGGTCACCATGATCTAGTTTTTGAATGACATTCTTTGAAAACCCAAGATGCATCAACTGACAAAGTTTGATAATTCTAAGCCAATAAGTACCTGAGATATTCAAAAGTAGGTCACTGTGACCTAGTTTTTGGTCGACATTCTCTGAAAACCCACGATGCATCAACTGACAAAGTTTGAAGATTCTAAGCCAATAAGTACCTGAGATATTCAAAAGTAGGTCACTGTGACTTAGTTTTTGGTCGACATTCTCTGAAAACCCAAGATGCATCAACTGACAAGGTTTGGAGATTCTAAGCCAAGAAGTACCGGAAATAGTTAAAAGTAGGTCAATGTGACCTACTTTTAGGTCAACAGTCTTTGAAAACCCAAAATGCATCAACTGACAAAGTTTAACAATTCCAGACAATTAAGTACCCAAGATACTTAATTATAGCTATAAAATGTCAGAAGTAGGTCACCATGACCTAGTTTTTGAACGACATTCTATAAAAACCCAAGATGCATCAACTGACAACGTTTGATAATTGTAAGCCAATAAGTACGTGAGATATTCAAAAGTAGGTCACTGTGACTTAGTTTTTGGTCGACATTCTCTGAAAACCCAAGATGCATCAACGGACAAAGTTTGAAGATTTTAAGCAAAAAAAGTACCTGAGATACTTAAATATAGCCATTAAATGTCACAAGTAGGTCATTATGACCTAGGATTTGAACGGTACTCTCTGAAAACCCAAGATGCATCAACTGACAAGGTTTGGAGATTCTAAGCCAAGAAGTACCGGAAATAGTTAAAAGTAGGTCACTGTGACCTACTTTTAGGTCAACAGTCTTTGAAAACCCAAAATGCATCAACTGACAAAGTTTAACAATTCCAGACAATTAAGTACCCAAGATACTTAATTATAGCTATAAAATGTCGGAAGTAGGTCACCATGATCTAGTTTTTGAATGACATTCTTTGAAAACCCAAGATGCATCAACTGACAAAGTTTGATAATTCTAAGCCAATAAGTACCTGAGATATTCAAAAGTAGGTCATTGTGACCTAGTTTTTGGTCGACATTCTCTGAAAACCCACGATGCATCAACTGACAAAGTTTGAAGATTCTAAGCAAAAAAAGTACCTGAGATACTTTAATATAGCCATTGAATGTCACAAGTAGGTAACTGTGACCTAGTTTTTGGACGACATTCTCTGAAAACCCATGATGCATCAACTGACAAAGTTTTTATGATTCTAAGCCAATAAGTACCCGATATAGTAAAAAAGTAGGTCACCGTGACCTTTTTGAACGACGTTCTCCGAAAACCCTAGATGCATCAATGACAAAGTTTGATGTTTCTTAGCCAATAAAAAGTACCTGACATTTTCAGAAGTAGGTCACTGTGACCTATTTTTAGGTCAACATTCTTCGAAAACCCAAGATGCAACAACTGACAAAGTTTAACAATTCTAGACAAGTAAGTACCCAAGATACTAAATTATAGCCATTATTGAAGGATACATGAACTATCCACTACATACATAAAACTTTATATACTTATAATGTGTTAATTTATACTTTTATTTCATAAATATATCCTGTGTAAAAAGAAGAGGAAAGAAATTCTACATAATTCAATTCAATTCAATTATAACTTGATGTAATTTCAATTTATTTATAACCATTACAGACTGAGGAACCAGCCTTTGATGCTTCATTTGACATCACCAGAAGAGATGACACCCAAGCTGGCCCAACCCTTGATGCATCCTTCGACATCACAAGAAGAGGTGCAAACGACATCGACATCCCTGCTGAAAGGTATGTAGAGGTAGTGATATGTAACTGAAAGTTCTGTTTATATCACTGTATCTTTCATGTTTTTCTTTTACATTTCCTATAATAATTGTATTGACATGTTGCAGATCTCTACCAGAACCAGACCCAGCTGATGACACCATCATCCCTCCAGCTGATGTTGTCTTTGGGGTCCTGGAGAAAGGCAGCAAGAGGGGAGGCAGTCTACTTGTCAGCAGTGACGGCTTCAGTTATGGTGTCAAGGTATAAATAATATCAAGTTATGCTATACGTGTTTCAAGTAATTTCATATCTTAGTAACTTAATTCTATATATTTCTGACAGAAGTTTTATTTATTTATTTATTATTATTCATTCTCATTCTATAATTCATTTAACTTCATTCTATAAATTTCAGAAGCTTTATTTATTTGTTTATTATTATTCATTCTCCGTCTATACTTCTTAATCTAATTGGTCATTATTTTTTCAGAGAGAAAACAAGTCTTCCACCATGTGGATCTGCAGTATCCGATCCAAGAAGATGCGCTGTCCGTCCACTGTGCTGCAGAACAGAGACGATTTCCAGACTGGGCAATTCATTTTCTTGTAGGTCTTCAATGCCATCCTTGAAGCTCTTCCAGCAAGGCCAGTTGTAGAGATGTTCATAGTGGACTTTGAGCTTGGTAAGAGGCTTAAAAAATTTCTTAGATACAGAGGCTTACAATTAATTTATCTCAGTTAACAACAACAACCAAAAATCTTAGATAAAGAGGCTTACAATTAAGGTAGTTCTATACTTGGCACTAAATGGGTTCAATCTTGAAAAATCTGCTTTAATAAGATAGACATATATCCCAGCAATGGAAAAATATATTGTACTTAATATGCTGTAATTTTTATTTCAGGTGCATTGAATGCCATTTCTACGGTATTCCCTGATGCTGTTACCAAGGGATGCACGTTCCACTGGTGCCAGGCTGTATGGAGACACATTAAGGAGCTAGGCCTTGCCCCCACCTTCATGAAGAGGGAAGCCACCCATCGCTACCTGAAGCAGATCATGGCCTTGCCCTTCTTGCCAGCACCTGACATCCCTGCTGCATTCCAGACACTGAAGGAGAGAGCCAACACGGAGCCCCTTCAGTCCCTTGTTGCCTACATCGACCGCCAGTGGATGCACCATGCCATCTTCCGTCCATCATCCTGGACAGTCTACAAGCAGTCCTTCCGCACTAACAACGACGTAGAAGGTGATTATTTATTTTTTTATCACATTATGATATATTTTGTTAATATAATTAAAAGTATATATGATTTCTAGAACTGAAATTTAAATACATGTAAAGAACAAATTTAATAATTTTACATTTTCTCATTATTAAAGATATGTATGCCGTGTTAAACAGTATTTTTGCACAGCTGAAACCGAACAAAAATTTCTGAAGAATGATAAGCTGTCAAAAATGAAGCATTCTTGCAAATTCGACGAAATTTTATTCGGTATTAACAAAGTACTGGTCGGGAAAAGAACATGATATTCTCATGCATATTTATAAAGGACTGACGTTTATCCTGGATCTGCGCATGTGCGCGGGAAAAGCATCGCGAGAATCATCAGGTCGAGGTAAATATTTTTGTGACGTCTGTTCAGTGAGGAACACAAATAGACCAATCAGCTCAATGAGTTGCATTTATTATTGTTTTACTAACAGCGTGACAGTTTGCTTGATAGGGCGTGCTAAAATTTTGTATGCTTATTATCATTTTTACTCATCGATTGGATGTTTGATTTCAATGGAATCCATAATAATTTGCATATGAAACACAGAACACAGCAATACCACTGACGATATACTGACCAATCGCGTTGAATAAACAACAATTACATGTGAACGGACAAAGCAAGTTTTACTTCCTATAATGATGATATTGATAGAGCTACGTACATAGTACAGCAGAAGCAAAGTAGCCTTACTAACTCCATTCTTTAAATTTTCTTGTACGTATTCAAACACCCACAAGGTCAAATCAAAACAAATATAATACATGCTTTTTTGAGGACAGAAGACGAAACGGGCTTTGACTGACCACGTGTTGCTGGTGACTACAAATGCCGTACTGGTAAACAACCCTTCAATGTGGTTGGCCAGTATTATCAGGGGATTGTTGCATTCCGAATTTCATATGCAAATTAGTATTGATTACATTGATCAATGGAGGAGTAAAATGATGACCAGCACACAAAGTTTTAGCACGCCCCATCAAGCAAACTGTCACTCTGTTTGTAGAATGATAATAATGCATTTATGGGTTACTACATAAAATACTACATGTGTTTTTCGAAAAAGATAGTTTTTTAAATCGCTCTCGGAAAGACTTGATGCATTATGTACATTATTTTCTACTAATCCCATGCTCATATTTGCATACAAATGATTAACAATGATGAAAATTAAAGTTTTCCCCACTCCATTGTACAGGTCCGTTTGTTTAGAGTTTCCCCGTGCTGCACTGCTAGTGGACATTTTCGACTGGGTGAACATTTACAAAATAGCGACTACGGATCTTCAGTATGGAGCGCATTATGCTCAAAAAATATTTTATGTCAAGTACAATGTATATAAAGTAATTTAAACTGCTATTTTTACACCCTGAATGGGATATCGTCAATATCCCTTAGGATTTTTCAAATATGAACTACATAACATGTGTAGATTAAACTTACATACCATACATCTTGCCATCTTAGAAATATAATTGGAATAATCAAAAAAATTGTCTAGGAACTCCAGGCCCCTAAAAACTATTCCAGTTTGAGGCCACAACCAAGCATTTCGATGAATATCATTAAGAAAAATTAATTCAGGTAGGTAGCATCGTTTTTTAAAGTGGGTGGGGGATAGAACAGTTAGAATAAAAATCAACAAGCTCCAAAAAATCTGACGAGTAAAATAGGTTCCAATATATTTCACTACTAACTTTTATGCATTCACTACAACATTACCCTATTTAACTTTCCTGCCAAACTCCAAATTTCACTTTCGAATTAGCCCGAGCCAATGCTGATAACCTACTTGCAAGATTTTTTATATTATTTTCAAGGGGTCAGATATACTGTGGTTCATATGTAAAGAATATAATTATATTATTTAGTAGTATTCTGGATTTGGCATTCGGTATTTTGTGCATATTTATATATGATATTCTGTGGAATACTTTTTTTTTTAGTTTTGAACCATTACGAAATGCAGAATCGACTGTATCTAATAACCATTTTGATTGATCAAATTATATCATTTGTTTGTATTAGTTATTTCATTTTGGCATAACATAGCTTCCACACTTCTTTATCCATAGTCGCTGACAGCTGTAGAAGTTCACCCAACCGAAAATGTCCACTAGTGAAAAGACAATTGCACGTGATTATTCCTCGGTACAAAAAGCAACCAACTCTGAAGCGCGCTCACGTATTGACAATCCCTAACTCACGTGTTTGTAGTAAAAACGTAGTAGACCATCATGCTTTTCGGTTCATTCACGAGATTGGACCATTGTTTGCTGTGAACATGCGAGAGCACGTGATCATGAATATTTCAATAAGAGGCGGTTTTTTATCCGACACGGAGAGAAAATAATTTTTACCAAATAATATTTCATAACTTTTAAAAGTGATGGAGTGGAATTGTCTTATTTGCAGAAAGTATATAACTTATATAACTTGATGAGACATCACATATATTCATTTCTTTTAAAATAAAACACTAATACGGCATATATATCTTTTATTAATATTAAGTAATGAATCTAACATGATTATATTTATTGTAAAAAAAAAAAGATGTCATTAATAAATTAAATTTTATTCATTTAAGGATGGCAACACAGGGTCAACGGAAAGGCTGGTCAACGCAGCAGCACCTTCTACAAGTTGGTTCCACTTCTACTGCAGGAGGCCAAGCTGGTGGAAACTCGTGTATCTAGTGACAACTTGTTTAGGAACGTCCGACGTTCTTCCACGGCCACCCAGAAGAAATTGGACACAGCCTGGGACCAGTACGATGCTGGGGAGATTTCTACAGGACACTTTCTCCGTCTGTGTGGCTCCTTGTACGCCACGTGTGAGTGACAGTAGTGTGGACTAGTTGTGTTTCGTTTCTCTGTTTCCATGGACTTCAACCCACTCGCGTGTACAGATTAGTGCTTCGACATGGTGTTTCTTTTCTGTGTTTCTGTGTTTCCTTGGACTTCACGACACTTGCGTGTACAGACTAGTGCTTAGACATGGTGTTTCTTTTCTGTGTTTTCATGAACTTCATGACTAGTGCTTTCATTCATATGTATTTATTGTATGTTGATGTGCTTTCTTTCATATGTATTTACTGTATGTTGATGTGCTTTCTTTCATATGTATTTATTGTATGTTGATGTGGTTGTCTATATTTTAAATGTAAAGAGCCATTCTCTGTAACGATTTGAAATTTTATATAGGAGCTGTGGCACGCATAGTCTCAAAATTTCTCCAAACTCTCTATGATAAAAGTCATTGATACCCTAAACTGAAATCAGGCAAAAATTGGTTGCTATGTTTTATAGTTACCATGGCAACTTGTCGTAAAGTTCGAAAAATGGCATTTTTTAACATGTTTAGAGCCCCATAGTTAACATTTGCGGCAAAGCAAACAATTGGCAATGACTGTTTCCAAAAGTTGAAGGTCAGATGTCTCAAATGCATGAAGAACATGATTGGTAAATCAACTATTACATACGTTACTATAGTAACAAAGTATTCAAAAGTAAAAAAAAAATATTGAGTTTTATAAAGTCATACACGTAAAAATAAAAAGGCATTATAGGATGAAATGTGACCAAATAATAGAAAAAAGAGCCTTGAAACATATACCAAGAACAAAATATGTATTTCTTTTTGGTTGGCAATGGTTGCCAAGGTTTTTATACCACAGGGAGCCTTCAAAGTAACACTCTTATGTTAAAATCTGATCCTATCTTTGAAAAAAAAGCACATTTCCTCATAACTAATGATCAATTTTATAAGATGTTGGTGTGCTCCAAGTTTTCCCATTTGAAAAAATTCAGATTAGATTCTTTAAATAGAGTGTAGCTATGGAAATAAGCAGAAAATATATGCTTAAAAACATGAAAAATATTTTCTTTCCTTGGATACGTACCCTTAAATGTAGATTCCCAAAACTTTTATGATTGATATTTATTAACAGCTAACTTGACTTTTAATTTTGACTATCATCAAATCTATAAGTGGATGCAAGAAGTTGGCACACAGGGTTTAATATTGATATAACGTTCACAAAATCGAACATTTTCCCTTCTTGGTAACCATAGCAACAGTGTTGTTTTATTCATCAAATTTTATCAATATATGATATTCAACTTCAGTTCTAACAGATAAGTACTATTCAAGCTGAGTCCTTTAATTTGTTTCTTGATTAAATGGCAATTTAATTCTGAATGCAGCGAAAAATAATTAACTTTTAAGCACTGGTACTTTGTTTCCATGGTAACACTGCAAAGTAGCCAAAATGGGCTATTTTTCTTATTGTTTTGATGTTGCAAGGTCCTAAGGATGCATATTTGCCAGTCTTGAATTTTCATGTTTTTCCTCAAGACAGTAGCATTAACCCAATCTTAGTTACTGGTTTTGCATGGTTACACTGTGTTACCATGGCAACCATAAAAGTTATTTATAGAATAATATTGCTTATACTTATATACTTAAGGTCAAACATTTTCATTGTTTTTCTTAAGTCGTTGATTGAGTTTGAGCATGTAACACCAACCATTACACCCCTACTAATGTTATTGTGATTTAAATTCAAGACACGTGGTTTAGGTTGATCTATTCAAAGGTTATAGGGTAGAACCGGTTTTATAAATAAAACTGGCAGTAAACATGATATTGCTATAGCCTGTTTCTTTTGAAAACATGTCCTGTTATAAATGTTTCCAGACATTTCAGAAAGACTTTCACCAGAAAAAGGGTGGCTAAAGGAGGGGGGTGTTAAAAAATGTTAAAATAACAATATATCTTATACTTTTCGGCGAAAATTAGAGCTCACTAGTGACCGATTCGCTGGTAAAAAATGTGTATTATCATCTACACTGACGAACCTTTGTTTGCCTTATATGGCTATTGTTATAAATGCGCAGAGTGGATCTTACCACGAGCAACTGACCAATCGTTGAATGAATAGCAATTTACACCAAATACATGTTTACATTTTACTTCGAACACGTAGTTCAGGTCAATCTAAGATCATGTCAATGGACTGCAAAATAAAAAAATGCTCTTACGAACAAAATACAAAGATAAGAAACTATGAAAGATGTTACGGGCTTTTTTAATTTGTTGTTAACTGAAAAAAAAGTTTAATAAGATGTAGTTTGTGTCTAGTTCAGAAATAAAATTTATTTCGTTGTTTACTTGCTAAAAATACTCATAGATCACGTGATTAGGTAACTATGAATACATTGGGTCATACGCATTCATTATCGACTCTCGCTATAACCTTGATACACGTATATTCACGCTGAATAATGAAATGTCAGAAAAAATGATTTATTGTCTGTCGAAATACCGATTTATGAAAGTTTAGTTAACTGAAGTATATGTGTAAATAAATATCATAAATTTGAATGTTAATTGATTAAAGGTTATAGCGAGTAACACTCCTAAAATGGTCTTTCTTGTTATTACTTAGAATAGAATTAATTTACATTTGGACGAACAAAGTGAGGGAGAATATAACAACAGTGCTTCAAGGGTAAGGAAAACGAGCAGCGTCTCTTATGCATTTAAATGGACAAAACTTTGTTTACGTTCGTGATCACGTGTTCGGCCAGGGAATCCACCTGGCAACTGTATTCACCAATAGTACAACAAAGGAATTTATACAGATGCAAATCACTTTTGCAGTATGACTTTCAGAAACCTAGACTTCCACCGTTCATTTAACAAATTAATTGTTTGTCATTATAAGCATGAATAAATATTTTTTAAAATGCTTTTCATTTACCATAAGATTTTCTTTTTTTCAAGAGTAAAATTCCTGTAGCATTCGTAGTAACCCATAATGCAAAACTCATTCAGCTGATTGGTCAGTTAAAATCATGCTGGTGCCTAATTTGCTAATCTGACGCCAAAAAATATAGTCCCGGTTCCCATGCAAAATTATTTGTCCAGAAAGAAATTTTAATTCATGACTGCAGAAAATTGTATTATAGAGAATACTTATTTAAGTTTGAATGAATGTAAGAGAGATCGATTGATTGAAGTACATTTCTACAGACATTATCAGCTGATTCTAAGGTGGTGAAGACTGAAACGCAACATAACTTTTCTGTTTACCTTGCCTCCACGTGCTAGTCACTTCCTAGCCACATTTCCGTGAATAATTTACCCTATCTCGCTGAAGTCTCGCTAACTCTCGCCAGAGCCACTGCCAGAGCTACTCTGAACTCATCGGGTTTTATAATTAGCAGAACACCGAAAAATAAAAGGTTCCGAACACATTAGCAGGGGTGCATTAGTGAATACGGAGTGTTTTTCAGCATATTTCAGCATTTTAAATGTATTCCAAATGTACCCTTGGTTACCACTTACTTAGAGATTATTCTAAACAGTTTCTTTACAGTATAAGTGACATCAAGGTGTCATGTTTTTGTGAGAATGGTTTGTTTGCTTTTTCTAGTTTTTATTAAGCCACAGTCAAGATTTAAAGTGGCTGAAAATCTCGATTTTTCAAATTTTTCCGGCTGTTGCCATAGCAACCGAGACACATAGCAACGAAATTTTGTTTGATATTTATTTCTGGTGTCAAGTACAATCGTGGGTGAAGTTTCATCAAAATCGGTGACCATGTGTGGCAACGAAGTTTAAGTGGTTACAGAGAATGGCTATTAATATTGATAAATACCAAATAAATTTATTAAAGTAAAAATATGCCTTCTTTTGTTTACAATAAGTATTTGATAAGCTGATTAAACTATCAGCCCATGAACACATGCAGTTCAGGACTAATGAGTTGATCAATTGATCAGTAGTAGAATATCATGAAATATATACCATGAACGACCAACAATTTAAGCAACGTTTTTAAGGGCTAAAAAATATGGCATATACACCATAACACAATAATGTGAATAATAATCGTCTTCATGCAGAAGAATCCTTGTTCTACATAATTTAATAGTGTAAATCAACTGAAAAATAATGACAACCTTCATTGAAAAGTCAACGAGATTTGTGAAATAAATATATATATATTAACATCCAGTCCTAAATTATTCGAAATTACACGATCAAATGTGTTCCAATAGTCATAATTTGGCTAAAAATGGCCTCAATATAAGTATTAATACAAAATGGGATAATCATAACACATAACACTACAATAACGCTTGGGGTTAATTAATTAAAGGTACCTGAGTTAAAATTACAGGTAATGGGGGGAAGCCATTCCGTATAATACCCATATCTTACCTGTAGATAAATGGGGCGAAACCACTCGGCGCGAACGCGTAATCGGCGCGAAACCACCCTACACCGCACATATCATGCAGATTGATCAACGTTTACATATCGTGGTATTTTTGTTGACATCCATTTATCAATAAATTTCGCAGTAAACATGGTAAACAAGATCTCAAATACTCCCCCCTTTCCGATCGGTCTGTTAACATGAAGTGGTTAATTTTTAAATTGTAAATTTTTAGACAAGGAAAGTAGATATCCCAGTCAGTCTTCAAACTTACATGCATTTGATAGATGATAGGATGTAAATGATAGGAATATCAAAGTCTAAGCCATTAAACAAAAGTCAAATTTCTTACCCATCTCCCGTTAATCTTATAAATCGATCCATGAACTATCATACCATGGTTATCACTTTACATTACACTCATTTATCAGTTTATATTTGTAAGACTCTAAAGTGCGATGGTGACGCCAAAGTCCGATGGTCTCGCCAAACCCCGATGGCCTGCGCCAAACCCCGATGGCTCGCTTTCTTACGGACCCCAAAGTCCGATGGTCACGCCAAAGTCCGATGGCTCGTTTCCTATGAGACACGCGACGCTAAAATGCGATGGTTT